GGTTATTTCCCGCTGTGCTCAGAACTCCTCCCGGCAAAGCTCCCAGCCAGGTGTGCTGGTAATGTCTGACAAGTGGCTCTCTGAAGACCACAGCCTATTTCCATGCTGTAAATATCCTGCTGCACCCGGTTTCCAGCGAGCAATGTGATGTCACTGAACACGGGAAGAGATGTGCAGTGCCACCATCATGCAGTATTTCCACCATAAAGAGTCGATTGCTGTAAATTACCCCAGAACAAAGATAATAGCTAAATGTGGCACAATAACTAGGAAGTGATTAGTTTCGAGTGCTTATTGACTGTGTTTTTAATATAACTTATTGAATTGTGAGTTTATATACTTTGATTTTTAATAATGGCTATGCTTAAAAATCCATTTGCAGCCAGGCGCGGTGGCTCACACCTATAATCCCAGTTCTTTGGGAGATTGAGGCGGGAGGATGGCTGAAGCCCAGGAGTTCGAGACCAGCTTAGGCAACATCATGAAACCTTGTCTCTACTAAAAATAAAAAAATTAGCCAGGCACAGTGGCGTGCCTGTAGTTCCAGCTACTGGGAAGGCAGAGGTGGAAGGCTCGCAGTGAGCTGGGATCGCGTCATTGTATTCCAGCCTAGGTGACAGTGAGATGACAACTCAAAAAAGCCCTGCAAAATGTGAGCCTTCTGCAGCACGTCACTACTCCTAGTCATGGCTCAAAAAACAAAACAAAAAGCACACCCCCAAAATCCCTTGCGCAAAACTGCTTGACTAGGATATGCGATTCCAGTCATTCAAATGTAGGATTTCTGTTGCCACAAGAGGGCACTATGGAGCGATACTGGATTCTAGGAAGAAACGATTGCCGCAAACTGATTAGGGGGTCATGTCAAGAATTTTAAATATATATTATTTAATTTTTGTATTTAAAAAAAGAGGTGGGGGTCTTGCTATGTTGTCCAGGCTAGTCTCAAACTCCTAGGCTCAAGCAACCCTCTCTCCTTTTCCTCCCAAATTGCTGGGGTTACAGGCATGAACCTCCACACCCAGCCTATCTTGAGACCTCTGTTTGAGTCTCCCCAGAGATTGTCATTCCAGGAGACCTTGTGAGAACTCAAAGAGTTTCACACGATATTTTACAATACAAGCACTGAACCATTCCCACCCCCCAACAGCCCTGTCCTCTGTGTCTGGAGGCTTTGGGTCTTCAAGCTACTCAAATGGAAATATCCTTGTCAGGCATTCCGCCTGAGGGAGAAGAGGCTCCAGCAAGTATTGAGTGCCTACGGCATGCCAGGCACTGCCCATTCATTACCACCTGTAGTTCTAAAACGACACACCCGAGGAATCCGCCCACACCTCAGAGAAACTGCTAGACTGGCAGGCATAGGAGTATTCCTATACGGTAGCCCCGGAGGGCTTATTATTTGCACTGCAATAATTTATCCTCTTTAGTTCCCACGAGGAAAATTAGGAGCATATTATGGACCTGATGACCCATGGAAGAAGGGAAGAAATTTGATTTTGTTTTCTTCCTCTGGCTGGGGCACCTCCAGGATCGAAGAGGTCGGGCGTTGGAGGGAGCATTTCTGTCTTCTCAGGGTCTTACCAGGGAGTTCGCGTCAGGTTGCCGGGGCGGACGCGGCAGGGGTCGGAGGGCCCCAGAGAGTCGAGAGCGAGAAAGGGTGGGTTTCTATAGTTCACTCTCTCCAGGGAGGAGAAATGGTTTTTTCTCAACAGAACGTGCCTTTTTGTGACGGGATTTCACACGCCTGAGTCGTACTTCTGCGGGCCTGGTGCCGTGGTTCTCAGACTTTGTTCTCGGAAGCAGCAGCGTGTCACCCGGGAGTCAACCGATCCCCAACAAGGCTACCGAGTCAGAAGCTCTGGGAGGCCTGGCGGTTTGTGCCTGGACAAGCCCTCCAGACGATTCTTTTTTTCTTTTTTTTCCTTTTTTTTTT